TTTATAATAATTGTTATTGCTTTTATTATTATTATTATTATTATTATTATTATTATTATTATTATTATTATATATGTTGTATGTATAAGTATATGTATATATACCTAATGACATTTGGTCTAACCGTAATGAGTGACTCTCTCAATTGAAAAATCATGGGTTTAAGTCTCATCTAAGACATATGTGGTAATTTAGGAGTAAAGTAGTTTGTCGTTTCCAATATATATATGTAAGAACCTAAACCCTAAGCCATATACATACATACATACAGTAGACATATACACACATACATACCCTAAACCTATACTAAACCTTAAACCCTATACTCACATGCTTACACATACAAATGTATATATATACATACACATGCACATAAGCATACATACACACAGAACCTTACGCTAAACACTAAAATCTATACTCACATGCACATACATACACATACATGAACCTAACCTTAAACGATGAACCATGAACCCGAATACCTTAAAACCTGAACCCTAAACTCATGTATATGTTAAACCCAAAACCTTAAACAATAAACATTGAAGCCTAAACCCTATACTCACATGCTTACACATACATATATGTATCAATGTACATAAGCATATATTTGGATGATATGATTTTTTCTCTTGACACCACCTTCCCTGATAGCCAAAACAATAGTGTTTAAACTTTTGCTCCTAGGTGGAACAATGTTTTCTTCAACTGTCTGTAGCATCTCATGAAGCTCCATAATGCTTTTCTCAAAACCGTTCGTGTGGTAGTTCATGGTGAACTATTTGTATACGTAGAATTGACTGCATCACCTTGAATCTCTAAGTACGAGCTTGCTCTTAAGTTTTTCATACTCCAAGAAGGCAAGAGCATTTCCCACGACATACTGCCTAGCATATCCGGGTGCTGGCCTACCCCTTCGGTCTCTTTCAACTGGTAACCATCGAGCATATCTAGGTGTTGGTCTACCATTTCGGTCTCTTTCAACCGGTAACCACCGAGCATATATGGGGCACGATCTGAAGTTTGCAACTTCAGATCTGGACTCCCAAAGGTCCCTAATGCATTAAAGTTACAAGCTTTTAAGACTTGAAGCCCTCCTCCTTAGTAAAATCCTTCCTTGTAGCTTAGTTTTGGCCTTTGTGAACTATTCACACGTAAAGGTTGCCACTTTACGTGGAAAGCATGCTCTAGAAGGTTGGATCTGCCTTTGGGAGAAGCTGTTTGGCTTGGGAATCGTCTATATAGATTGAGACATAGAGGGACTCGGCGAGTCACTTATGGGACTCGGCGAGTTAGTCTGCCTTCTTGCCCCAAAAACCCTTCTATAAAAGGGTATGATTTGAGTTGGTATGGGACTCAGCCAGTCTGGGTCCATAGCAAGTAAGAAGATCATCGTACTCGGCGAGTTCAAGGATGAACTCGGCGAGTCTAAGGCAATCTTCTTAGTTTATGAAGATGGACTCGACGAGTTGTTCATACAACTCGACGATTCATAGTCTAGACATTCATAAGAGGGAGATGAACTCGACGAGTTCAAGGATGAACTCGGCGAGTCGGTTGAAAATGATCCCGACTGTAATAATGAAGGAGAACCCGTCGAGTTCTTGCTAGACTCGACGGGTAGGATTGGTGGTTGTATTGAGTTGGAGAAGCTTGGACTCGACGAGTTGGTAGACCAACTCAACCAGTCAAGTCAACTGGAGGTTGACTTTGACCAAGTTTGACCTGGATTGACTTTTGGAATATTGTGGTCTAAGTGTTACTGTGGGATATTGATAGTTCGGGAGTTGAAGGATCAGCAGTCCGGGGGATTGCTATCAAGCAGCCAGAAGTGTTTCAGCTAGTCTTCAGCAGTACGAGGTGAGTTTCCTTTGTGTGAATGGGTCTACGGCCACAATACCGGCCCATGTAGTTATGAGTAGGAAGGCCTGGGGGTTAGCCCTAGGCATGGTATGCTAGTATGTTATTCTGGACCAAGGTCCGACGCCGGGTGGTACCCGAGGCAATAGTGTATGTGTAGTTATACTTGTTGTCTTTGTGATACTTGTATGTGTCTGGAAGGAAGGTGAGTCGGGCGAGGTACCGTATCTCATCACTAGCCGAGTATGGACGGGGTTACGTATCTCATTAGTAGCAGAACAGGGTCGAGGCCCGAGTTAGTAGAGAGGTGACTGTGGACGGGGGCCCGTATCTCACTACCAGCAGGAGCGTGGACGAGGTTCCATGACTCATCAGTAGCAGGACAGGGGCGAGGCCCAAGGTAGGCGAGGCCTTAGTACATGAATGTAGTAGAGTAGTTATAGTTTATGTGTTATGCGATATGTTATATGTTTGTATATGTTTAGCGGGCGGGGCCCAGAGACAGGCGGGGCCTAAGAGAAACGTATATGTACACCGAGCGGGGCTCGAAGCCAGGCGGGGCCTGTTGTCGGATGTATCCGAAGCCGGGCGGGGCCCGGGGTAGAGGGAGAGGCCACATAATCCGTGACACGGAACTCGCTCCGACTCATCGAGTTCTTCCTTGGACTCGACGAGTTGACTCATTGACTTAGGGTTTTTCCTTCCCCAACTTGGCCTCCTGGATTCCGGGTGTTACACATGACCGCCTCAAGACCTTCAAGATTGTAACTTTTCTGTCTTTGGGACTCAAATAGCACTATGGGTGGCAACCCTAAGCCTAGAAACGGGTTTGGAACCATAAAGCTCCATTCTTGGGACCAAAAAGGTCCAAAAACTCAACATAAGAGATCTAAGAGAATAACCATCAAGTTCAAGACTTTATACCTCCAATGAGAGCCAAAAGCTGGTGAGGTTCTGGATCTAAAAGCTCTATCCCTTCCAACAAATCTTCAAGATTAAACACCTTCTTCAAAAACACCAAAATATTCTTCTAATGGCCTTCAAAGCTCCAAGAACATACAAGAAAGGATTAGGGTTTATAGAGTAAAGTTTGGAGGGCAAGGAGGATGATAAGAATATGGTTTCATTCCATAATGTTGCTTAAATAGTGGCCAAAACCCGGAAATTCGGGTTTTCCTCAAACCCACGTACGCCTTGCATACATACACGTACACCCAGCGTACGTGTCCGTGGTCCCGATCTGATCCGCTCGAGTACGCTAAGCGTACACATTGGTACGCCCCTGCGTACTCGTTGAATACTTGTGGGCTCTGCGTACCTAGTGGTACGCCCCATGTTCAAACCCAATGACCAAAAGTGTGACCTTACAAAATACAAGGGTACAAATGAAACTAACCTCACTTCAGGTGTTACATAGTAAACCTAATATTAATAAAAATATATATTTATATACTAAAAATTTAATTATAATAAATCTAATAAGAAAATAATCACAATAATAATAATAATAATAATAATAATAATAATAATAATAATAATAATAATAATTATTATTGTATTTATATTAATAATATTATAAATACTTATAATTATATTTAAATTAATAATATTATGAAATAATAATAATAATAATAATAATAATAATAATAATAATAAATGGGGGAAGGCAAAACAAAAGGAGGGAAAAGAAAAAAGAAAAGGTGGGAAACAATTTCCAAATTCCTCCTATTACATTTCCTGCGAAATTCCAACGGAATTGTAATTTTATATATTAATTAATATTTTGTTGGTATTTTGTAGGAAACTTCCAACGCTTTTCCGACAGAATCTTTGTAGGAATTATGTTAGATTCTACTTTCATCCTAAGTTTGTTGGAAATTCGATGGATATTTCCTACAAAACATTTTCGTTGGAAATATTGTGTAGATAAAACCAAATATTCTAGTAGTGATTGTCACATGACACTTATTTTTGAGCTAGACTCAAAATGACCTAACACATATGTTTGAGCCAGAAGAAATGATTTATATTCTATTTGTTTGGCCAATGAATCAATCATTTGTGTCATATTATGCACAATACTAGGTATATGATTATGTTATGAACATATCATGAGATACAAATTTAATACATGGTTAAGTCATTGGATGACTTAACCATAACTGAAACACTAATACTGCATCCTCTCTCCCAACAAAAAATAAGCACCCGTTGGCCTCCCTCTCGTTGTGATCAACGAATAAGAGCAAAGGAAGAACACCCAAGAGCAACTTTGATTTGTTGGTGTCTAGCAAAATTATGTATTTGTTTGTATGGATATCGATAGTAGCAATCAATCGTGATTAAAGTCTCCAACATTAAAGGATCCTACATACTAATGTATGCATCCTAAACATCTTATGGTTAATGTTTATAAATTGTTATACGTCAATGCACTTTTTCGAGTTTAGGTCCGGTCCGAACATCCTGCCTTTGGAATCCTACAACTTCGATTCAGAAGGATATCGTAAATATTGTATAGCTATTATATGTTGTATATAGCCTAGGGGACGTCTAGTACCGTTACCGTTCTTTGCACTTAACAAATATAATAACATATATATATATATATATATATATATATATATATATATATATATATATATATATATATATATATATTATTATAATAAAATGAAAAGTTTATAAAAACAAATAATTTGAGTTGCGGAAAACAAAAGCAAAAACAAAACTTAGAAATAATGATCAAAATTAAAATATGACCAACACTTATTTATCTAAAGTCTAAACAGAAGCAAATCACCAACTATATCAACCAAACTTGTAGCTTACTCAAAATAAAATAAACCAAAAATTCCATAAGTAACACAACATGATCTGAACTCCAAAACACTATTCATCAATCATATTGAGTATGTCCAGATCATTTTCTCGAGACTCATTGAACATCCTAATAAAGGATGGTAGTCTTTTATGGTCTTTTCATCAATCGCATATCGTAGTTCATCGTGCATCACCGTAAAAAGAATTCAATTTTAAATCCTTTAAATTATCTTGTAAAGTCTCAAATCTTGAAATAATCCCTTGTACAAGAAGTTATTTCAAACACTTATCTTCTTCGATTTTCGTCGTCATCATCATCTAACATGATATCATCATACTGTAAGAACAAATTCATGGCGAATTTGAATCAGATGATCCAAAACTAGTATCTCTTCTGTACCTAAGTTGCAAAGAAACTTGCCGTTCGTATCTTAATTGTCGATAAAAGTTCTCAATAAACATCTCAGCTCTCTTATCCACATCATCTTCTTCAGGAAAACTCATGGTTCTTTGTATATGAAAGCTTCTCGTCTTCTCCAACTCCTTTACATGAGAACAAGAACCAGAATCACAATGATTATCATGTTCTTGTTCTTGTTCTTCATCATCGGAGGATGACAGTATTGCTGTCAACCCTAGTCGTTCCCCAAAGCTCAGCCGCCTGCGACTACCTGATCGACCTATGAAAGAGGAGACAGCGCGCCACCGGTTTACATTTGAGTTCATAAGAAAAGTGACCTTCTTGACGACTGTTCTCAGCCTGCTTAACAACCTCCATCTGCTGTTGTCTTCTTCCATGTTTTCTGAGCGATTTACAGAGATAATTAATTAGTTTTGATTATATAGATGATTGAAAACGAAATGGGGTAGTTGAAATATAATGAAATCGATCATGTTGAGTTGAGTACCGGAGTATTTATAAGTAGATACGTCGAAATTGAAAGAATGAAGGGAGCGTGGAAGAAAGGAAAACCAGCTGGTGATGTATGGCAGCTTCTACTACAAGAGAAGCGGATTCAAGCACGTTGTAAATTAACTAGGTTAAGTAATTAGAATATGCGGAGTACCCAATGTGTAGAGAACATGCATGGAGATTTAATAAAAAAAAATATGTTAATTTCATAAATAGCAAAATTTTAGCTAAATAAAATGATTTTAATATATGAAACCTATTGATTGATTATTTCAAAGAATGAAATTACTTTCGTGGGGGGCAAGTTCGGAAAGGACGAGGTAGCATACAACAAATTTGACTTCCAAATTAATAAATAAATTAATGAAATGGCATATCTTTTTCTTTATTTGCTCGAAATCTACCAAGAAGGAGAAGATGTCAAAGAGCAAGCAACGTAAACAGTTCCATATATTTTATGTTAGTTACACCCAATGTTTTAAAAACCGGTTTTTCAGTTGAACCGGTATGGTGACCGGTTCACGGTTCAACCGGTTTAACCGGTTCGACCGCCGGGTGAACCGGTTTCTATAGTTTTCATGTTTATTTTTTCTATTTTACTACACATACATACATATATAAAGTAAGAATTTGATATTTACAAGTTCAAACATTAAAAATACACATAAAAATACGTTGTAGATGAATCCAAATACATTAAAATAACACATAACCATAACTTTTAGTGATTTACATCAATCCATATACGTCAAAAAAGAAACTAAAGTATAATACCAAAACGAAATATAGTTTTAGATGAATACAAACACATCAAAAAACTTTATAACATTTACCATATGTTTTTATTTAGAAAAAACTAAATATATTTGAAAAAAATCCCCAAAGTTTATTATGTAAATGATTATTTTTCATGTGTTTTTATTAAGTTTAACCGGTTTATTTTGACCGGTTCAACCGGGTTTTTCGAAAAACCGGCCGGTTCAATTCGGTTCAGAAATCAATGTAAAACCGGTGATAGTTGAACCGCTCCTTCTCCCGGTTCCCGGTCCAACCGGTTCGACCGGCCGGTTCAAAATGATTTTTAAAACATTGGTTACACCGTAGAGTCATCATTTTGGGAGTTCATTAAGGTTATATGTAGGAATTTTGTGGATATATACATCAATTAGTAAGTTATTTGGAAAATACATAGAAAATATAGTGTGTATGATCTATATGCAATATACATTCATTTAGACCATTTATTAGTGTCGATAATATTTGCCACCGTTTGTTCCCAAGTTCTATTTAAGGAGAGATATGAAGGGAAAGTGAAGGATATCGAAGGAAAATCGTATTAATGGAAGGAAAGTGAGGGAAAGAAAATATTTTTGGAGCCATATTTTCCTTCCAAATTGGGCGTATTTGGGAAAAAAGTGAGGGGAAATAAAATCTTTAAGTTTTATTTTCTTTTTCCTCCTAACTCGGAAACACAAAAACTAAAAATTTTCCTTTTATTTCTTTCGAACTCGTGAACATGGAATAAATTTTTTTTTCTTTCCCTCCCTTTCTTTCTGTTAATATTTTCCTTCCCTTTTCTTTGTTGAATTAAAAAGAAAAAAAAAAAAAAAACTTAGGAACAAGGTGTTAGTCCAAGGCAAAGGTTACCCCCTTGCCTAGGGGCTAGGATCTTCTCGACCACAATCCTCTGCCTTTGGATAGTAATCGTAAGGATTTGGGACCTAATCCTTTTAAATTCTTTAAATCTTGGATATGGGTCTTGTTGAGGTGGTTCAAGATTGTTGGAGGAATTCTCATGTTGTTAGGCCAGATCTGTATCTTGGTCTAAAATCGTTTTTCTGTCAAGGAAAATTTAGTAGCTAAAATGTCATATTATTAGTGGAATAAATTTACATATACTATTATTTAGTATATTTGTATTTGGTTTGTTGTAATAGAAATCAAAAATTTCTAACAAAAATTCTTCTACATTTTCTTCCTACTTGTCATCATACTCATTATATCAAAACAAAAATCAAACTCAAGAGAGAAGAGTAAAAGAGATAACTAATGGTATCTAAATGTTATTGATGCGAACATGGAAGGCGATGTGAATATAGGAGGCGAACCACCAATGTTGTTTGTAGGAAATTGCGACTTGGTGTGACTGGTTGCGAACGCTCGCAAGCTATCATAGTCGCTTGCAGTTCGTTGCGATTTGGCCCGTTGCGATGTCGTTCGTTATGAAGCCGTTCGTCGCAATACGGTTCGTTGTGAAGGAGAGTTGTGTTGCGATTGGCAGTCCGAGGGAGTTGGATATGCGAACGAGGGGTTTGCTTGTTGACCTTCGAACTTTAAGCCTCAGAAGTTGAAAAGACGGCTTGGAATTTCAAGAGTCGCTTTTTACTGCTGTAAATGTTTTCTTTTAATAAAGTCTTTATGAGTAGTTTTAAATAAATCCATTAATTGGCATAGTTATTAGAGTGACTTTTTTATTATCTTTGTAAGGATATATAAAGCCATTTCGATTTCAGTTGTAAGGGGGAGTGTTTTGAAGATATTGAAAACTGAACTATTGTTCATTTTGAGTTGTTACGACAATTCAAACATTGATCCTTATTAGGACGCACCTCTTAGCATTGGTCTTGAATTCAAGTTAATAGGTCTTAACCTGTCTTCGCCGAATTTCAAGCTATAGGTCTAGTTTGAGTTCAAATCTATCCTTTTTTCGTTACTTTGTTCTTGTCTTTTAATCAATTATTCTTTGTTCCGCTGCAAAATTCAAGTTTCCATAAGTTTACCCTCCAAACACATATCCTAAGTGATATAGCCTGGTTCTCATCAGCGACCGGTCAAGATGAATTGGGAAAACCCCGAGTTCCTTCACAATCTTCATGAAGCTTTGAGGAATATAGTTGAGGAGCAGCCCAATCGAAGGTTCCCCAGACGAGAGATACACCGGGAAGAAGATTTGAAGATTAATGAGTTGACGAGATTTGTTGGGGGTGCCGATCCAGAACGATGTCTGGATTGGGAAAGGAAGATGGACTGAATGCTCGTGTTAAAGGAGTTGGATGACGAGAAGAGCTACAGATATGCAATTCTGAAATTGAGTGCTGGAGCTTAAACATCTATTATGCTCAAGAATCATATTAAAGTGATATTGCTATTTAACATATGAAACTAATGGGTCACACTAACAAGAACTTGATAAAATTGATTATTTATTAGAAATTGGTTTTAATAAATATTCAATAAACTCTTATAATTAAATTGGAAATTATTTATTTTTAGGAAATAATAATTTTCATTAAGTAGCATGTTATTTCATATGATATGAATTAATAAGTCATGTACAACATTTTGGACCATAAGGACTTTTTGTCTTTTACCAAAAGGTTAAGGTTTATATTTTATAAACTTGATTTATAAAATATAAAGCTTTTGTCTTCTTTTGGTGAAGTATGGCCGAAAATGAGAGAGAGGTGAAGAGAGATGGTCTTTTGATTAGTTTAGTAAAAAGTAAAGGCTTTCTTTCAAGCATGGGGGACACCATGTCTTAGGGCATGGGTTGTCTTAAATACTTGAGACCCTTTGTGTAATATATACACTTTATGAGTCTAGCATTTGGCTAGCTTTTCCATATGTACAAAACCATAACATGCTTATGCAGGGTTTCTCTCTCACTTTTGATCATCTTATGAAGATATTACTTGCTTTTATACTCTATTGAAGTTCATACTTTGGTTAAGAACTTCAAGCTTAAGAGTTAAGAGTTTTAGACTAGCATCTACATCAAGTTGAGCCATTGTTGGTGTCTCTTAAGTTCATCATTCTTTATTAACTTCCAAGCCTCCCAAGAGGATCCAAAGAACTACAAAGATTGTTATTTGTTCTTCTTCTTCTTTGGTTGTGTTCGTTTTCTTTCCAAACTTTGCAAGAAGATCCTTGATGGGTTATAAACTTGTTTTATGTTATTCAAATCTTCAAGTCTTCCATTACTAAATATTATGTTTTTGAACTAGTTTTTGAATAAAAACCCAACAATTGGTATCAGAGCCACATTTCAAGTTTGGTTAGATTTTTTGATTTTTTGGAAATCTTAGTTTTTGGAGAATAAGGATAACTTGGTTTTGTATAAAAACAAGTTCATACATATTTTCTATGACAACTTTATAATTGTTATTTTATGTGACAAAAGTTTTCATGCATCTTTTGTCATTTAAAGTTGTCTTAGAAAAACAAAGATTGTTTAATGTGTATGTTGATATGTATGATATGCATAAACTAGCCAAGGACCATAGTGTTTGTTGTGTTGTTGTGTTGGTTGTTTTTAATATAAAAATAGTTGTAATAATTTATTGATTCATATGGTATGTAATAAATTAAATAGATTAATTTTCTTGGTTTATTTTGTAAAGTAATAGATTCCTTTTTAGAAATAATTTATTTGTACAAAAATGTAACAAGAAATGACGATTGAGCCATTTTTTGAAGACCAAAAGGTAATTTAGGTTGTCCCCTCGACATACTATCAGTGTGTTAAGATGACCATTCCATGGGGACAGTAAAAATCACAGGTGATTGACAAGAATCTAAGGAGTTTTACAAGACCTTAATGAAACCTTCAACGGTACCACGGCAAACATAACAATTAAAGAAGGGGGCACGAGGTGTGCTAGAAACAAGAGAGTGGGATGTGAAGGAAGTGCCCCTGAGTATCGAGGATCGTGAAGCCAAAGTCCTCATAGGATCCTCATTACCAGAGTATATGGAGCAAGAACTAATAATGTTCCTAAAAGATAGAAGCAAAACATTTTCCTGGAAGCACGGGGGACATGATAGGTATAGACAAAAATATTATAACTCACAAACTCAACATTAATCCTTCTTGCAGACCAATACACCAAAAAAGAAGGAAGTTTGCACCTGAAAGAAATCAAATCATCCAAGAAGAAGTAGAAAAACTTCTTAAAACAGGGATGATCAAGGAAGTAAAGTTCCCAAGGTGGCTAGCCAACGTGTTCGTAGTGCAAAAGAAGAATGGAAAATGGAGAGTATGTGTGAATTATACGGATCTCAACAAGGCTTGACCTAAGGATCCTTTCCCCTGCCACATAGATTCCATGATAGATGCCACGGTTGGCAATGAATTGCTAACATTTATGGATGCATCAGCAGGGTTCCAACAAA